TTAATTTTTCTAATGTAAATTAGAGTAAATTATGAGTCCAAAATTTCCTGTGGTTTGCCCCACCCACCACTGAAGGTGTATAAAAGGCTCTGGACAGATAGTGACATTCAAAGACAACCGTAAGGTCAATCATTTGGAATGGATGTAAGTGCACTTCTTTTCACTGGATCTTAATGTTGGAGTCACCAAGGTAAACAACATGGTTAGGAAAGAGAGAGAATACACTTTTACTCACATAGCAGAAGATCAGCTCCAATGGTTGGTACCATTCCTTCAGGACCAGCAGGTCCCCAGGCTGCCAACAAGGGCAATTGTTCAATACTCACCCCTCCAGAGTCAGTGGATGGATCACTCCCCTCCTTATGAGGTCTGAACTACTGAAAGCCAGAGTGTGCTTGAGAGCCATTGAGAATCAATCCTGTACAAACCTAGACAAAACAAAGAAGCATACACTGAGCTTGGAGCAGGAAAACATACTTCTACACAAAGCAGGGAATTCAGCACAGACTATTTACCTCTTGGTAAGGAAGTATTCCAGACTCAAGGCCTATTCTTCTGGAACTAAGTAGGGGACAAAAGACTGTATGCAAGAGACTACCTTTCCCAACACTCCAGATCCCCAGGACAACTGTAAACACTGAGTATCTGCGTGTTCATGGGATGGAGAGCTCTCCAGACCGCCACGTAAGCTGTTGAAAGAGGCACCCCCCAAAATTGGGGCAATAGATGTGACAGAAAAAAGCTAATGTCCTGCACAAGTCTACTTATTCTCTGGAAAGGTCAATTTTAACAATTAATAATAAAAATAAATGTATATGTCACTGTTTTATTTTATAACAACCTTGTAAATTTTTTCAGACCAAAAAAAAAAAGAAAATAACTGACCACAGTTTGACTCCTAGACCTGAAAGCTTATTTTCTTACCTTCCTTCTCTCTCTCTCTGTGTGTCCCTCTCATAGTGTGTGCCCTATAACAAATTTGCAATCAATCAATAAATAAAATTAGATAAATAATTATTTTTAAAATATATAACACAATTATATGTGAAAGTTTAGGTGCATTTGTGATGGCATTTGAACATATATTGTTAGTCTACCCACTATGAAATATTTATAGGATGAATTTTTCTTGGGCAAAGACAGAATCACATGACAAACACACACACACACACACACACACACACACACACACACAAGCACTTGACAAAATTCTTACTTTAGAATGTTTGCACAAGCACCAATATACTCACATGAGTAGCCAGCATTCTTAGGAAATTTCATAAAACACTCTCAAAGAATTTCCACTAACTAGACCTGTTTGATGTGGATTTGAAAATACAGGAAATTTTTAATAATTAAAATCACATGATTTAAGGGTGAGAATTGTGACCCAAAAGCAAAAAGTATCTAGCCTATGAAATTTC